TGGTCTTATTTCCATAGGCTGTTAATTGTACTGCACATTTTGTCTTTTCACTTAAAGATGATAAATCACCTCTCAACAATAAAATATCCATTTCAATATCCGACTGTATGATATGAGCATTAATCATGACCACAGCAATGGCCACAAATGCCAAAATATTACTAGTCATGGCAATCAGAGAGAGAATTTTCATTACATTCAATCGTAACATCTTGTGACAGCCACATGTGAATTTTCAATCGAATGGGGTGACCACTTGAACGAGTGGTGGTGGTGGTGCTGTATGGAGTAGTTGTCGTCGTAGAATCACTCTTATCATCATCAACTTGTTGTTGTTGGTCGTGTGGAATGGTGGCTACCCTATTGTCTTCATTGAATGTCGTCTTCTTTTTGAGGTGAGAGTACGATCACCATGAGGAGGAAGAGGAGGTTGGAGTTGTTTCTGGTGGTGGTTCTTGTTGTTGTTCCTCCGTCGCTGACAAAGGAGAGGTGATAGAGTGTTGTTGCTCAACTTGAGGAATTTGTTGAGGTTTACGTGGAATGGTCATCCTCTCTCATCAAACATGTGGTTGCTTCTACTACTGCTGCTGCCTCTCCTATTGTGAATGATGAATAATAGACAACAGTTGTTATCGAGAAGAGAAACACAAGTGGTTGTTGTTGTTGTTAAGAAGAATTGTTTTGTTTGTTGGGAGGAATATACACTCGAGATTGGATTCTCATAGAGAGCTCTTTCTGAACATTAAGCGCTCTTATTTGTTAACAAATAAGAGATACTCTTGCCTCAAGTGAAGGGTTTCTCCAAATTGTGCATGAGATGAGCTAAAAGGCAAACGAAAGGACACAAACTGTATTTTAATGAAAATAAAATCTTTTGATACCCCCTTCTAAATTGAGAAAGTCATGGTATAATTGGAATTCAATGTTTCGGAGGAAAATTAACATGAAAACGGTCACTAATTTTTCCGTATCGCTCGAAATTGTCATTTTGGGGATCATTCAAAAGGTAGGTTTATAAAATTTACATCGACGTGAAAAATACTTTAATCTCAAAACTGGACATCCCAACGTTCATCACTTACCACACCATGAGGACACTGTTGACGCCAACAGTCAGGAAAAGAAGAAAACAAGTGAATGCTTTCACTCAACTTTTGACTCTTTGTTTTATCTTTTTATTGTTGCATTCAAACATTGTGTTCTCAGAAAAGAGTCATCATGACCGCTTTTCTCATCCTCTCGATGGAAGGAATCTTTTATTGGTGATGAAGAACAGTGGAACGACAAGATCTTCTGAAATGACATACGATTCATTCATGAATCCATTCGACAAGACTCTCTCATCCATGGCATGGGTCAACAACCACTTGAGAAGCAATCAAGTCAGTCGAATCCTTGTGAATCTATTTATTCGACCTTCCACCCAAGTACTCCTCACCAAGAACAATCTCAGAGCTTTGAGAACAGAAGTGTTCAGCAATAGTCCAATCTCTCAAGGAGACGATGAACAACTCCTCCAAGTGGTAGCAGGTTCCAACAATCGCATCTTTACAAGTTGGCTTTCATACCAAGAATTGGAGGAATTGTCCAAAAAAACAACATCACCGATTGAAATTTGTGGAACGTGTGGAGAGAGTGCGAAATGTTCAGCGAATCAATTTTCCTTACTTTTCCTTAGAGAGTCTCAAATTTTCCACATTGAGTGGACATGGCAGAGTCCTCTCTTGGCAAAGATTGTTCTTCCTCGTGTTCATCATCATCATTATCAATCCCCAGCCTTTACTTTCATGAATCAAGTGAAGATGAAATTTTCAAATCGAATTCAAAACCTTCTCAGAGAACGATTCATTGAATCAACCTTGTCATTTAGAAACACTTTAGAAGGTCAATCATCATCACCATTCATCATCAATATGGAACGAATGATTCAGGAATTGTCTGATTCATTAAGATTATCCATTCAACCCATTCAAACTGAACACGATGAATCCAATATCGAAGAGAAGAATATTCTTCGAAGGTCCTTTCGAATTTCTCTTGAAAACTCTCTTCCCAATCAGGATTGGATAAAACCCTTCCTTCCAAGCACCTCTGAATTCTCCATTCTCAAAAACAATCCAGAAAAATTCTTGTCAGAATTGTACGAACAGATGGGTGAAGAATTTCTTTCCATTCTTTTTGAGAACAATGAACACATTGAAAGAATCTCGAGAATTTCCACAAACTTTATTGACTTTTGGAAAATGATGTTGTGCAAACTAATAGTAGACTCTCTGATACAAGATATTTATGGAATCAAGGAGTCACCGGAAAGGATCAAATTGTTCATTTGATTGATTCTGGTCTCGATGTGAATCATTGTTTCTTTTCAAAGAAAGGTGGTGTTGAAGATTATTACACAGTACCAAATGTGAATAATCGAAAAGTAGTGTATTATGAGAAAGCAAAGTTAGGAGATCGAATGGATAAGAATGGACATGGTTCTCATACTTGTGGAATTAGTAAGTTTTTGAATTCAACACGACATGGGAATTCCCCACTTACCATATATAGTTGCTGGAAATCCTGAAAGTAGTGCCACTTCGAGCGATTCACCCATACTGCAAGATATTGGAATTGCCAAAGATGCCAAACTTTACATGACTGATGCTGCTGTGAGTGTCCTCTTCTATGTCGACAATATCACTCTATACTTGTCCAATGCGTACAAAGTTGGAGCTCGAATTTCAAGTAACAGTTGGGGAAATGCCAATCCTTTGGATTGTGTATTTGATTGTCAATGTTTTGAATCGAATAGTAATCGCACAAAACCAGTCACTAATGAGTTTTGTTTGAAGCAATACGGTAAATTGTGTTGTCAAGTTGGAAATGAATATGATGTGAATGCAGAACGAGTGGATGACTTTCTGTTCAAGAATGACGAAATGATAATCATCTTTGCAGCAGGAAACAATGGACATTATGGAAGAGACGGCTCTGATGTAAGTAATAGGAAATTTCCTAAAGTATCAAGAACTGAATCTGTGTTCAGCACCTGCGGCAGCCAAAATTCGTTGGCCGTTGGAGCCAGTTATTCCACACTTCGAGAATATTCAAGAAAGGATCCCAATGTGAATGCTACCCTTTTCAATCATGAAAATTTAGGATATTTTTCATCCAGAGGTTTGTTTCTTTGGTGATCATCTTTTTGTTCATTGTTTCAAAAACATCCATTAACGACATCAATTACAGGTCCAACCTTTGATAATAGAATTAAACCAGAAATTGTCTCACCTGGTGTCGCCATATGGAGTGCAAGAGTGAATAATCCCTTCTGCGATGCCTCTGCCTTAATTCAGGTAAGTCTCTCTCCTTCTAAATTCTTTTTTAGAGGCCGATTGTGATGCATGTAATACCAATTAAAGAAAACTGGAACTTCCATGGCCGCCCTCCATTGCTGGTTCCGCTGCATTAATTCGAGATTACTTGCTTCAAAACAATAAGAAGCGTCTTCTTCAATACGAGTTGATCAATAAGTCTTCTTCTCAGACTCTGAGTGGCACATTGGTGAAAGCCATTTTAATTCATTCTGCCTCCACCATGAAAGGAAGTGTCAAATTGGACGGAGATTTCACTCAGGATAGAAATTACGTGAATCTCTCTCAAGAGTCATATCCAAACAAGTATGTCGGGTATGGAAGAGTGGATTTAGGAAATTTGTTGAGATTTGGAGATGCTGGCAATTCCTTCTTTCTTGTGAATCGATTTGAATTGGATGCCTCTCAGAAAGTTTTATTTAAATTTAGAATCAAATCATTGTTGACACAATCAATGCTCTTGAACACTGGAATTAAGGCAACTCTTACATGGTATGATCGAAAAGGGACACAAACGTCCTCCTCACAACCCATTCTCAAACAATTGATTAATGATTTAAATTTATCGTTAGAAGTGATTGAAAACACCTCTGGAAATGTTACTCTTCGATGTGTTGGAAATGGAAAGTGTGTGAATACTTTGGATTCCAATGGTGATCTCGCTTACGATTCATTCAACAATATCGAAAGAATTGATTTGGAAAGATTCTCAAACATTCCTCCAATAGATTTGAGTCGTTCCTTGCTCACTTTTACGATTGAGGCTTCTTCACAAAATGTTGGATCTCAGAATTTCAGTCTTGTCGTGAGCAGTCAGGAGGAGATTGAATTAGAATTTTGGAATACACTGTGGTGGTGTCGAGTAGTAGTAGTACATCATCTTCCATCCAACACTTTTCTCTCACCTTCATCCTCCTCCTTGTTGCTCTTCTCCTCACCAACTCCTGCCTTTAAAATAAGCATTTGTGTTCAGCAGTTGTCCTTGTAGTGCTCTTCCCTCACCAACAACACAAGTGAGAATACACATACTCTCAGAATAATAAAATACAATCCTAAAGAGCTCCTGTTACGAGATCCAAGTATCCGTTGGGAGAGGATTTTCCCACACACTCAAGTGTTTCAGCTCTCTCAAAAAAAACACACAACCACCAAATGCTGCTACGAACGATAGGAAGGTCTGTCTTATTAACCTTGGAAGGATGGAACGACTGTATGTCCCGAAAAGGCTGAAAGCGCAGAAAGGGATAGCCTTAATCGTGCTCACTGGATTGTCCTTCTTTTTCCTTCTTTTATTCCTGACATGGATGATGTTTCGGAACCCTCACTCCAAACATGACCTAAGCACTCTATTTCCCCATGCACTGGTTCCGATGGATTGTAAACATCTAGCAGAATTACAATCATCATCCTCTTCGCAAATACCTTCTCCTCCTCCTCCCAACACACAAATTCCTAAAATTATTCATCAAACTTACAAACCTTCTGAAGAGGAGAAACTTCCTAAAGGAATGAGAGTCGCAATGGCTTCATTCCGAAATTTAAATTGTAACTTTGAGTATCGATATTATGGAGATCAAGAGGCATTGCAAATGCTCATCCTTCATTTCGGAAAAGACTCGGATGAAGTCTATACGTTTCAACATTTAATTCCAGGTGCCTATAAAAGTGATTTTTGGAGATATGCAGTGTTGTGGATTTATGGAGGTTATTATGCCGATGCAGATATGGTATTAAGGGAACCCTTTGAATCATGGATATTACAAAATGTAACCTTTGCAATTCCAGTGGAGTTAGGTCCTCCCTTTTTTGGTTTTAATATTGCATTTATGGCCAGTGTGCCACGACATCCTTTGTTGCGAATAGCCATGGATATGGTCATTTATAATGTGAAAAACAAATATTTGCCACTCGTTCCAGGTGAGGAAGAGGAAAATACTTTTCGAGCGACTTTGGCAGTCACAGGTCCAATTTTGATGGGCAAAGCATTGAATCGATATTTAAATGACCCAGATGAAGCTCCTCATAATCTTGCCAAAGCAGAATGTGCACAAATTCAAGTATTGGGTTTTTGTCAAGTATATGAGGGAGTGGAGTTTATCTCTACTGTTCCAAATGTTGATGATTTTAGAGTGTGTGAAGGTCAAAGAGTGATTCGATTTAAATACACAGGTTATGATCGAGAACATAAGAAAAGTGGAGAACTCCATTATACAGAGCTTTATGCTCGACGACAAGTGTTTGCCTAACTAGAGTGCTGTGAAAAGTGACTCTTCCCCAAAATATGTACCACCGTCATGAACTATTTACTGGAAGAAGTAATTCTTCCTTCCATTGAAATGTGAGCAGTCAAATTTGATCCAAAAGAAGTTAATTTATCGTCACAATAAACACTCAAAAATTACAACAAAAACCACAGTGAAATGACCAAAACATTTACAGCCACCAATAAATTAACCAAAAAAAGAACTCCTCCTTTGGTCATGGAGGTTGCATGACTAATCTGAGCACTTGTCTGTGGTGATGGAGAGGAAATGTTTCTTCCCACCACAGGTAACACTACAGAGGTTGGTTGTTCCAAAGGTCCACTCAAGTCAAAACCTGGAAGACTATTCTCTCCATCATAGACATTGGCATCTTTCCAAGCCTTCATATAGCATTTCAATAAATTTCTATATTCACGATGACATAATTTGGTGAAAATGGTCGAATTGGTGTCAATGGGATGAAAATGATGCGATACGGCATAACTAGATCCCAATTCATCTAAACCATTGTTATAGGCACATGATAAAAAGTCTTGTTGATATCCATTGCATGGTGCCACACAAGTTCCATTGAATGGAGAAGCACTCGAAAATCCACCACAACCACATTTGAAATCAGTTCCTGATGGACATGGAGTAGTGGTCGTACAAGTCAAGGTCGTTGGACTTGAACATTTTCGAATGGAGGGTTGACAATAACCCGAGTAGCAATCTTGATGACTCTCACAGTCTGCTCCATCGAATTGAGAATATCTTCGAATGCACTTGTTCTTGCTGCATCTCATTTGAAGTACTGGTAATTTGTAGCACTCTGAGGATGACTCACAATACTCTCCATACAAGGAAGGAATTTGACATGATTTGTAGGTGGATGTGGGAGATTCTTTCTTACACACCAAACCATTGGCACAGATGGTTGTTTCTGGTACTGCGGTACAATTTTGACCATTATTGAGTATCGTTTGAGCCTTACAAACGCCATCGTAACAGCCAAACCCAACGGCACATATTTGTTTCACATTGTTGTCG